CTCTTTCCGTGCAGAAAATGCATCCAACCCATTTCTGCAAGCTACCACATCCTCCCGAGATTCCTGAAGTCACAGCCTTCCAGCAGCAACAAAGTTCTACATAGGCTCCCCCATAGAAAACTTGCCTGGAAAAGAAACTGCTGGGAAATAAACTGTGCTAGTAAAGAGAACAGCATATCACAAATTCTCCTTGCTGACCACAGGCCATGTCTGTAAGAAGAAAGGCTGCACAGCCATCTGGATTTTCAATCAACCAGACAGGAATCCTCTCTCAGACAAGATCTTTTTTCTTTATTGCTAGGTATTTTAATGATTTTACAAGATCTTTGCCTAAAGGGCATGGGAAAAACACATTTCATAGCTTTAAAGTACCAAAGTTAATACACTAAGCTGACTTTTTTTCCCTCAGTTTCTACTGTATCTAAATTTTCTGCCTGCTCCTGCTTCCGAGACAAATTACTCCAAGAAACAGCAGCAGCTCTGCTTAGATCTGCCTCTACACACATAATTATCTCCAAATATTAAAAATACTCCTGAAGAAATAGGAGATGTTAAGCAGAAGCTCGAGTTAGCCCTTGAGAGTGTCTGACCCATGGAGCAGCACTGAATTATGAATGAATGTGGCTCTGGCTTTGCATTTTAAGAACATGATGCAACAGAAGGTTCTAATGTATGAATTGGAATAATCTCATTTCTCAGTGTCACCCAGAAGCACAACTTTGTAATGTGAAGAGCAAAACAACCCAGAAACATCTAAACTACCCCAGATGTTCCTACAAAGCAATCACATTTGAATTCTTAAGAAGAGGGAAACAAAGCTGTATTCCATTTTTGCATAGTGACAGGAAAACTGAAAAGGAAGTAGGTACCAAATGTACAGACAATAAAAGCTTCAATGCAGATTCATTTTTTCCTACAAAATCTAAAGCTTTATCTTAATGTAATCAAATAATTCCTTAAGCACATTCCACATGCAGTTGCAGAAATGTTGTTTTCATGCAAGAACAGTCACAGCTTGAGAAATACTCAAGTCATTCATCTACCGCACCAATTAAATACATATTCTGAAGTTTGTCAGTTTTTGATTTAGCGGTATATTAAGACATTTAAACTAGCACACAGATAAAAATGGAAGCCAGGATTTTCAAGAAAAAGGTGGACAGTTCTTAGGTACTTAGAATTTTTCCAAATCAATCGCAGTCTCACAGTCCAAATTAATCTGGCCAGCTTTTCAGATTCCTATGTTTTAGAAGTCAGGCACAGAGACAAATGACATTCTGAAATACTCAAGCCCTATATAACGCAGGTTATATTGCTCTACCAAAAATGATGAATGGAAAGGGTCTTTTTCTCCATTTGATGAGAAGTTTCTAGAAGACGACTCAAAGTAGTAAATGATCATGGCTTTATTAGCCTACAAGAACCTCAGAGGTAACATGAATATAAAACAAAGCAAATACCTGGTTGCGCCCAAGGTTGCTGCGAAAGGCTGTACTTGGGACCTCCTTGAGTGGCCATTGTTTTTAAAGCAGCTACCTAAAACAAGTACAATCAACAAAATGATGTTTCTTTCAGTTGAATTCACAACAAAGTGACCAAGTAACAATTGCACAAGTCTCTTAGACACTGCAGTGTACAGAATCTCCCCTGCTCTCTCTCTTCTATGCCCTGATTTAACAACACACAGGGGAAGCAGCTTGACAGAAATGCAATTCAAAATTAGAACCATGATTACCTCTTGAAAGTAAAATTCAAAATGGGATTAAATTTACAAAGACGCTTAGGGACCTAAGGGTACAAAACCTCAAAAGAGATTTATACTTAGGCGGGTTAGTCAAATTCCCCAGATTCCCAATGAATCATTGGGATCACTTGGACAATCTGTCAATCTCTCTATGTTTTAGGCATGACACTGGCCCCTCACCCCAGCATGACAGGCATCAGTAAATTTAATACTGTAATCTTCTAAATTCTCAAAAAACAGCAGCTGGGATATTTGTGATGTCCATGCAATGCTGTAGCCCCAGTTTCTGAGATATCATGCCACTTATTCTCAGTACATAAGGATCCACATCACACTTTTCGTTTTCCAGAAGTAATAGATCCTGCTGTGTGGTTTTCTCAAGATGCCTAGAAATCCTGAGCTCTACAGCAGGTTCTAGAAATAAGCGTATTATAACAAGACATCTTTTCTGTTCCTATCCCCTAGGATGCCTAATATTTCTGACCAACTTTTTTCAGGAATTTCTGTCACAAATAGGACTTGAGAGGAAAGTCCTGCTCAGCAAGCACCTCACTAGTGTAAAATATGCTGAGAACAGAAACTTCTAACACATTTCACAGCTACACTCTAAGACCTCCCCCAAGAACACACATGACCCAAGATTGTTTTTGAAGGCTTAGAAATTCAGTCAAGGTAGGAGTTTTCCTGCAAACAGAAAAGCTCCTGCCAACTTTCAGAAACCTGTTTCAACTCAATGAAACATTAAAGCTGCTCAATCGAAGAGCATTAAGGGTTGCTTTTAAAAACAAACTATGTCATGTTCCTTTAATCCATTAATCTCAAAAATGCCTGGAAAATTGTCGTTGGAACTTAAAGGGAAGCACGACCTTATAATGGGAAATGCCATCATCTTCATCTAATCAGACAGAACTAGCAGCTTCTCCTATACCCAATTTAAACATCAATTCCCTTGTCCTGCTAGTATTTCAGTTAAGTTAAAGAACATACAACATGTTTGTACCTTTGTCATGAACTCCTCCAGCTGTTCTATAAACTGTTTGGTTTGCTGCTGAATAAACTGCTCACAAGCTGATTTCAGATGACGATCTACATCTTTCTTAGAGTCGATATAATGTTCTCTGATTTCTGGAGTACCCTTGAACAGAAGACAACAATTCTCTCCTTTTTATTTGCCAGAGATCACCACCCGTTTAAATGACCCAATTTTTCTTAATGCAGTAAGACTCCATATTACCTCCAGTAAGAACTGTATCAAGGCGTTGTTGCTGTTTAGTCTAAAAAATCTTGAAACTGTCTTAGGGTTCAGGATTTTAAATGCTGCATCTGTGAATCAGAAAGTCACTCACGCTGTAAGTCAATGGGATTCAGCTCCAGGAATTAAAAACTTTAATCACTCATTTACGCATAAAAAATGGCCTAGATGATTAGGACTATAACATTAATGATTCCACTACCACTAGGTGTGGATGCACAAGTGCACATGCACAGAAGCACACAATCCACTGTTTTTTAATTGCACCTATGGTAAACCTAAATATAACAGTTGCACAGTCTAAACAGATAAATACATTACATGAACCTAACAAATGACTGATACTAGCTGTAGTGCTATAAGCACGCAAATTGTGTGAGCTCTTCTCCTTTTGTAACTATAACTACAAGTGAAAGACTTTTACATAAGCTATGTAGTTAAGCATTTACGAACAATGTGAAGAATTTGGCCCATGTTGCCTCTGCTTATTTTAGTTAGGACTAAACAACAAAACATCAGGGTTGATATTCACTCATGTTTATGGTCTCTACAGAAGTCCCAAGAAGGAAAAGCAACAATGCCTGTAATTAACACGAGATACTGAAATTATTCCTATAGTGCTAACAGGATGTTGACTACCTGAAATCTAGTCAAATTGGGAAAAAGAAAATTATCAATACAGTTTCAGTTTCGCTTATTGCCCTAATGTCATTCATTTATCATCCTACAGATCCATCTGTTTTTTTTTTCATTTCAAAAGCAATTCTGCGCCCCTCTTGCTGTATAAAACAATGGGAAGGAAACAAGACATAAGAGTTAAAGAAGTGCTGTCAAAGGCATTAAACAAAGAGGGAATACCAGATATGTAGGCACATAGGTTTTGCATTGAACTAAGGATCTGCACTCCTATGCAGTTAAAGGAGACCGCAAAGAAAGATTCATTTTGTCCTCTGAATTATTTCCCAGCAACTTCACTGATTCTAAAAAGAGCCAAAGTTCTTGATTAGAAGCCTATGAGCTAGTCAGTGTGAAAGTCACTTCTCCCACTGTATACTTCAGTTACATGAACTTTAGCATTATACTTCTTTGCCTATGAGCTAGTCAGTGTGAAAGTCACTCCTCCCACTGTATACTTCAGTTACATGATCTTTAGCATTTTACTTCTTTAAAAAAAAAAAATCAGGCGGAAGCATGACTTTTACATTAAGCAGTGTCCCTTTGTCTATAAATCCCAAATTAAATCTTAAATCTATGTGCAGAAAGCTTGGTTAGAACACAGTAAAACTCCTATTAGCCATGTTATTTTTCTTCTACAACTCATCCCAAATATAAAAGCCCTACTGGCCTATGATACACTACATTAAGATTTAAGCACAATATACATCTTTTCAATGCCACTGCCACCACCCAATATGAAGAAAGTGTTTTCCATTACTTACCACTACCAACTGCAAAGCACTAGCTGGCACAAAAGTTTGTTCAATCAAATGAAGATGGAGAACAAACTTGTGTGTCAGCCAGGACAAGACACCAAAAGGATGTATTTGCCCCTTAACCTCCAGTCAACTAGAAACTACTCAACAGGTAGGAGGTTTCACTGATGTTCAAATGCAACAGGTGAAATGGTTAGTGTAAGAATTGCTTGCTTCAGAGTTAAAACAGCAGCATATTAGATGGCAGTAAAGAAAAGTTATTTCTTCAGCTTTCTCTTCTGGAATGGAAGAAGAGAAACTTGACATGCTTCCAATTATTTTTCCCCATTATCTTTATAAACTTGACAAGTGCATGACAGTTCACTTTTGTATTGAGAGGTTTTTTTCTGCATTTTACAAAGGAACCATAGTACAATTTTAAAAATCATAACCATGGCCACTACTCTTTATTTTCCCCTCCTACAACAGACACGGTTGCTACATAAAACTATTCAACAGTACTGCTTATTGAACTTGCAACATAAGAAATCTTTTCCAAAACAAAACCTCACAGAAAGGTCTAGGAAATCTTAATTTGTTCTAGACAAGTCAACTATGTATTGTTAAATTCACCTACTAAACAGCAGTAACAAAAGATATTCCTTTAAAGGGTCAGAAAAGGGGAAGAACATCTCTGTGCAATAGAAATGTAGATTACTTAGCTGTTCTTAAAAAGGACTGGATAAATAAGTTAGGTCAGCAGCAAAAAGCAGTCAAACGCAGTTCATACAAAAATAAAGAATTTGTTAGATACATCTTGAATTGCCCTGAATAAGAGAATGGTTTTAGTTTTTTTCAGAGAAGGTAAGAACAAAGCAAGAGATTAGAACAAGCGTACCAGTCATTGCAAGTGAACATAAAATAACCCAGAACTTTTGCTGGCACATTAAGGGAGGACAATCCCATCCCATTCTGTCGCCAGCAACTGTTCAGTACCTCTAGTTTTCTTAAGGTCCAGGGAAATTTCCTTAATGGTGAAATCAGTGTGGAAAGGAGCAATTTGTTCACGAAGAATCAAAAGGTGTTTTATTAAGAAAAGCTGTCCATCAACCTGGGTCTACAGCACAACAAGAGAAAGAACATGCATTACATGTAATAAAAAAAAAAACAACAATTAAACGAAGAGCAAAGTTTCAACGCCTCCACTTTTATTAGTTACTTCCTATAACAAAATTAATACTAATAATCTTACTAACAAGCTTTTTCCATTAATCTGAAGTGCCATTAATTACACTCTGGGATCAACAAATCCCACTTCTGCACTGCTCCTAACACATGGCTCTACAGAAGCAGACTTTATTCACATTTCTTAGAAGAATTAGATTACACAGCCATATTACTAAGTGTCCACATTAAGTACAGGTATCCATTGTTTGAAAGATACAAACTTACTCTTCATAATAGCCAGAAATTATTTCATGTAATTCATATAATTTATAGTTGAAAAACATGAGGTTTTAAATTTTTTTTAATCATTATGATGATTAAAAAATGGCCAAATGTTTCTGTAATAGCCTTGATTAAGTATTGTGCAAAGGTCTTATGAGGCATTTTTCTCATGTCATTAAACACAAAGCTTAGTTAATTTCTAAACAGTACAGCAAAGATACAAAGAATAAAACAAGGCCAAGTTTACACCACCGAGACGATCAGATTTGCACTGTTTGTTATTTTAGCTATGTGCTTTATAATGCACGCTGCTTTTAATCTTTGAAGTTCATGGCTCACTGAGGTAAATGGAGGAGGACTCAAGAATTCAAATTTGCTTTTGCAAGCTGGAACAGAGCTTTCCTTGATATAATGTTAAATAAAACAGTAAAGAAGAAATTAGATTTAAATCTGCAGTTTTAACAAACAGAAATGTTTACTAAAAATAAGTGGTGGAAGGTTTTCTTGAGGTTTGTTTTGGTTTGGTTTGGTTTTTTTATTCTTACATGCACAATTTCACCAGATAATGTTAAATTAATATGCATCAAGAACAAAGTGGTGCAGATCCTAGTCCTGGGCCAGCCTATCTAGGGTTCACTGCAGGATGAGTTTCATTCTCTGCAATACTTTAAGTCAATACTGACCTGATATACAGTGCTGGAATGGATAATTAACTGTATAACTCTGAATCAATTACATATGAAATAGTTATCTGCTCAAGCTAGAAGGAAACGCGGCTTGAATTTCTTTTTAAAGATACTACGTTTAACAGATATTTTTCAAAGGACACTCAAAAGAAATACTTCAAAACAGCTCTTCATTTCTAATAGCAACTAAAACTTTTTTTCATTACTAAATATTTGCTGTTTATACAAATCCAACAATTTTAGCCTACTAAGACTTTCTTTTTGTTGTTGTTGTTTTTAAATTCACTTCCTGGCTGTTAGGAATTAGCAAATTACTACAGTATTTGTATTAAAGAAACTGTGACAGGAAAAAAGAAGGTTTACTTCAACTACTTAAAGTAAAACCTAAAGTTAAAATGACTTGATGAAACTGCACTGAATTCTGAGCAACACATCAGATCAAACCTTTTGATAATAGACAGTTCTGAGCGGAGAATACTTAACAAATCTTTCCAGCGAATTTAATACTTAGAAAAATTTTTGAAAATTCAAACAATGGAGGCAGAGAAAAAGGGAAAAGAGTAACGGGCAGTGAAAACAAATACAGGGAGCAGAGACTGCTAGTAGAAATTTTTCTGTAAGTATCACTTGATTGAATTCACATGAGTTAGAGCAGCCTGTAAACATGATTGCTATGATTTGTATTCCACCTTTTCAGATAGGCTAGCACGTGAATCATTATCTTTGTTTTACAATACATTAACCGTAAGTAAAAGCTGGCAAATCCACCAGGTCTCTGGGGGCAGAGCAACATGCTTTCACTGAGATTTCAACAGAATTCTGAACAACTGCTTCATAGCTTTACATATACGGGGGGGGGAAGGGGGGGAGGAGGAAAAGAAGTCATACCCAAAGCGTAGATTCTGACCTTGTTTTTGCTGATAGAATCAGCAGCTCCCAGCAGCGAGTGGATGCAGGCAGATAAGGCCTCTTGCGATAACCCCTGAAACACTGCCCTCTGCAGGGAAGAGGAAATCAGACCAAAAAAAGGTGTTGGCAAAGCTTAAGCAGAATTTAAGAGTTGTAGCTTGTGAAGGATGTGTTTATCAGCACATAAAACTCTAGTTTAGTTAGCTACAAGCGTGTCGTCTAAATGCAATAAGACAGGATGGAGCGTTCATATATAAAAGCTTGCTACAGCACTTACTTAGACTGGATACAGGTATACACTCAAGCATGCCCTGCTCACCCTCCGGCTCTGAATTTGCACCTGGGTAGTGACATGGTCAGTGACACCTAATGCATGCACAGTTAACAGCATGAACGATGCTACTTGGGTAACCTGACTAGACACTTCATGTGTCAGGGCAACTATCTGTGTGCACAACTTATACTTGCAATAGACGCGAGATCATTCGAGTGAGCTTAACCTCAAGCAAAATCAAATTACCTCACATTTGCGCCAGGCTAGTTAACAAACATGACAGCTGCCATGGCCCAGGTGACACAGAGTAGCTCATTAAGCTGCAGCAACTAGATTATACGGCCGAGCTAGCCATAGGAACACAGCTCGCCTCCACCAGCACTCCAACGTAGTACATGACAGCCCTGACTGACCCAAGATTTGCCAGTGCCACTTCATTCGTGTCTTCTCCTGTCTACAGGGTGCAGGCAAGGCACACCAGTTCTGCTAGAATATCTCAGTGAAAAAATAACAAATCACTGCGCAGACACACTATAAACGAGCCTCGCACACAACACAAAAACGACCTCATCTCCAAACGTCTAGCTGAAAACAAGGGCAAATACTCATTTATCTTTAATGAGATTGATATATTAAGCAATAAAGTATTAATATTTTCCATCTTCTTTTTAAGCAAACAGCATCTTGGTAGCAGTTTCACATAACACCTATCAAAGATATATTGAAATGTATTTAATAAAGACACAACACGCACAGAAAAGCAAAACCACTCGCATTATGTTTCTCAGAGACTTATTAGCCTTTTATGCTATTAGGTGACAGACATAAACCAGATTCTAAAGGGCAAGTCTCAAAATACTTGTGAAGTAAACACGGCTTTCGTTTCTGTTAGACATGAAGCTTCTTACTGTCTTGAACTTTGGAAATGTCTCCTACATTTTGGAAGATGAAAAGATGTGCCACAAAATATTTTTGAGAACATTTCCAAAACGTAGAAGTTGTAGAGTCACCAGTCATTTTTAAGACCAGAAACATCACCTTGTCTGATGTCCTGCAAAGCACATAGCAAGAAACATATTCACCCAGTAATTTCAGCAATAAGAAAATTCTCTACAATCAACCCAGAACTTTCTATTTCTTGACCTATTCACTCCTCAACTTTGGTGTGCTAAGTATCTTGAGCATCAGACACTGAAGTATTTCTGTAATAGAAAAAGCAATAGATGTACAAACCAGTGCCTTTTAAATAAATCTACAAACACAAAATTGTCTAGGAAATGGTGACCCAAATTTGTCAGTTCACTTGTTTTACATAAAGATAGCAGCAAAAAGACTAAGAGATAACGAAGGCCAGTAATTGTCCATTCCTAATTTACATTAAAATATTTAGACATGGTGCTACACACTTCATAACTTCACTTAAAAAAATTAGATAAAGAAATTTTTGCATACGTCTATACATCTGTACAGTTTGGAGAGACACACTAGAGTCCTTCTGACAGTAGGATACCACATTCCATGCAGATCTGCTGGTGAAATCGTGGTCTGGTGCTTGGTTGCTGAACCTGTTTAAAAGTAAATTACACACATGAAAAACTTGCCCATCTGTCCTTTCAACTGAAGGAGACTGCAATATTGACTGCACTTTATACTGACTTAGTAAGACATATTTTATTCCACCCAAACAGGTTAGGATTTTTTTGTCCTTCTGAGCAGGTCAGTACTAGATTTCTGATGTGTATAGAGCACATGGCTGTGAAAGACATGAATTCACCTCCAGGGATGGCCCAGCTCAACCTTTTTTAATGAGTTAGTTTTACAGGCATGTCTCCAATGACACGCCCCCCCGACTTAGCTCAACAGCTGAAATGATCAAACAATTACTGAAAAAAAAGGCATAGGAGAAAAAAGAAGAAAATGGTTAGTGATCATGGAACTACAGGAGATGCTCAGGGAAAAAAAAGAGGAAAAAAAAACATTCCATCAATTTTACTTCTTCGTGCTTTCCTTTCTCCTGGGGATAATCCTACATGGATTAAACAGTTGCAGAAAGTGTAAGGTTTAAACATCATGTTAATAACTGCAAAAATAATGGCAAAAACAATTTTGTCATGAGGGGGTTGTAATCATAAAAAAGTGCTCCTCCTGGGTAACCTTTGCAATAATTCTGTATGCTCAAAATGGATTTTTCACAACACCTGACAGACAGAAGTCTTGTATTATTTTCGTTTTGTCCTTAAATCCTGGGAAACAGCTGAGTCAATAGCATCAGAACTCTGATTACAATTCAAAAAAGTAAAATTTTTTTAAAGTTTTACCTAATGATGGAATAAGCACTTGTGAAGTGTATATGTGATCAGTGCGGGAACTGTCTAAAATAATTCACCAATATCTTTCTACCTTTTGCAACAATAAATTTATTGTCACAGTAATTAGAAGGCCTGTAGACCTTAGTTGTCAGTTTGAAATTCCTAGGCTATTTATTAGTCACTTCAGCTACTCCTGAGGCACTGAAATGGGAGAGAGGCACCTTTGAAGGGCAAATAATCCCAGTTATCTCAGACACTTATCTTCAAATTACACCATATAGGTTTCTTCCGTCTCCTGAATGCAGGTGGGATTTACAGGACTTGTGACTGCCGCACGCCTGGCTTGAAGCAAGATAAACTCCACTCTCAGTGGGATTTGTGGAGTCCAGTTAGAAACAGCCAGAAAGACCTTGGCAGGCCTTGCAAGCCAAAAGCAAGAAACTACCAGGTAATCAAAAGGAATACGAGAAAAAACTGACAAAGAGCTGAGAAAGGTGCTGCTGGGAAAAATAACACTGTACCATTCTGAACAATAATCAAATAGAGGGAGAAATTCTTCATGGATCTTAGACAAAAATTTAAAGGGTTGTAATGCTCAATTGACTGGCATCAAAAGAGCCACATTTCACGGAATTTGTTTCCAGTTCACTGTAATTTACAGGCACATGGGTCACATATTTAAAAAGTCAAGAACTACATTCTGAATTATTGTAAACAGCTAAAATTACTAAGCAATTCCACTTCAGTAAGTGGAAATGCATTCAAAGGAAGAAGTCGCTTTCCCAGACAAAGGCACACACAAAAACACTCCTAGATGCTCAAAGCATTCATTTAAGAGACATGCCTGACACACCAAACCACCCTTCTCATCTTAGCACAGCTAACAAACAGAATCATCCTTAAGAAGCATCTTGATGCTACGGCTACTTTGCAGTAGAGAATACAGAAGCTCAGTTTTACACAAAGTACAATAGATGCTGTCAGCTACAAAAGTAGTTGCTTCACAAAATGGATTGCACTGGAAGCACAAAGAAATGCCACAAAAAGAAAAAGATTAAGTTGTTTCTCATTCCAAAAAAAAAAAAAAAAGTTACTAAGAACCCTGAGACAAAGTTCACCTCTCAAAATCTCTTATGTTTCCCTAGGAAAATAACCCTTTAAGATATATGCAAGTTTCTCACTGATAGTTCAAGTTAATGCTCACTCTCTGTGAGCTTTATGCATTAATTTGACAACATGAGATATATTTCGTACCAGATTTAACTAAGCTGCAGGACTCGGGATCTTCTAGCCGGACATCTGAAAATGAAGCTTCAGATGGCAGCTTCTTCTGTTCCTCTTTTAAACTCTGTGCAATTTGCTGCAGAGGAAGATATACCACAAAATTTTAATTTTTTTTTCTCCTTAATTTAAGCAGCATTACACTGCTTTGATTACAATAGAGAAAAGCATACTAAATTGTAAAAGGAATCAGCTACACTCAGCTCCCCAGTGTTTCAAAGATATTAAAAGAACTAAAGACAGATGTTCCCAAAACAGTAGCAGAAACATTTCAATATCAATTTAAGATTCACAAGTATTACACAGATCTGAGTAAAGCACCGTTCTTTCCATTTTGCTTTTTTTTACTGATCTCTAAATAATAACCAGTGAAGCCACCTAGAAAGAGAAGCTCAAAATAGGGGAACCCAATTCAACACTCACTTGGATTTCATACAGATAATTTCTGTGTTGACTTTATTCCTATAAATGGTATGTGCAGATGGCCCCTGCAGATGGCCCCAAAGTACTCTCTAGTTTATTCCCTGCAGGAGTTCAACAAAAAGCTTTCCCCTAACATTACTCAACACTTCCATGCTTCCAACCTTTTTCACTACTTGGTCTGCTTCAAAGCAACGAGAGGCAGCAAGAACGGACAAAGAACTGCATTAATATTTGAGCAGAACAGCACAAGAAATATTTCTGCCCTGTGCTTTTAACATTTTAATAATTCATTTACTCAGACAGAAGGTCTCTCTAAATAGCAAGGTTTTGAGGTTTAAAAGCAACCAAGTAGCAAAATGAATCTCAAACCAGGCAAAAATGGGAGTCTTACAAGGACGTATGAAGAGCAGCGTAATTTCTCAATTTAGAATGAACTGTAAAACTCACTTTCTTCTTCTTCCTAACTGAACAGCCATAGGACCCCAGTTAGAAAATAAGGCCTTGTGTAGACTAAGTATCTGCATTGCTTGCCTACAGAAGTTATAGCTAACATTAAAAAGTTCTCACAATCATTTTTTTATCCAGTTCTACTCACACAATTTTAGCAAAAAAAAAAACCCAAACCAAACAAACAAACCTGCACTCCTAACAGTTACACTGGTAAAACTTCTGATCACTAATTGTTCTGAACAGAGGGATCCCATTTAGGTACATTTTGTGTGGTGAGCTTCCCAATTACTATTTTAGTTTTTTGTTCAAAAGCTTATTAGTCCTTAAACTTTCAGTATAAATGGCAAGTATTCTACAAACTCACTAGCTCAGGATTTGTAAATACTTTCCTAAAAACCTATGAATGTCCCTTATAATCACCAAAGCATAAACTGTAACATAATAAAAGCTTTAGATATGTATAAAGACAAGATTATAGCAACGTGAGTTCAGTACTAAAAAGTTTCTCACAGTGTTTGTCTGTTTACAGGCAAGAACTGAACACAATAAGGTACAGTTATACAATGTTAATTTCTTCCAGCCCACAGCTA